TACTGACAAACAGCCAAATTTCGTTAACAGTCGCTTACTAATTTAAAAGTCATAGCATGAAAACTATAACAAGCACAAAATGGTTACAAGGTCGGTTACAAGAGTTAATATACAATCTGTTTTTGATGGGAAGTTGAAATTGCAGTTGAAGCCTATTCTGGTTACTGTACTAAGCAGTGTTAAAAATGGAATGTAGAAATAATTCTATATGTTATACCTGTTTATAATTCTCTGAGGTATAGTAACTACACCTACATTTTATATGGTGCATGTAAAATAAAAACATGCATGTATGAATGTTAAAAATAAAATACACGCATATTCAGGAAGAAACTATCTAAAAAACTGTTGGTTGTGGTGCACAGTAAGAGATGGAGTACTTCATTGCTCTTAAAATATGCATTCATGGATGAATTGAGATTAAGCTTAGTTATAAAGTATAAAACAATGTAATACATAGAGCTGTATCTAGTACATTTACAGTAGATTTAATAACAGTTACACTGTAAAAGGCTTTATTTGTTTACAGTTGTTTCAAATGCATTGCTTTGCAGCGGTGAAATATAGCGTAAAATTTTTAAGTGTTCTACTTTATTTTATTTAGTTTTATTTGTATTAAATAAAAATTGTCAAATATTTTAACATTTTAATTGATAAAAGTGCAAACTGGAATATCCATATGGTAATCGTTCTGTTTTTAAAAGAAAAGGTTTATGAATAACCTTGACATTTTTTTTATAGGCCTTGTATTTTAATTTCTGTTCATAAGGTTTTGGAATTTATAGTTAAAGTTAAGAATTTGTCATTGGTAAAATACAGAGGGTTGAGTATGTTATATTAAAATGATTTTGGAGCCTCACCATGTCATTACAGTACGTGTAGCCATGCTTTATATCCTATGACTATCCAACTTAGTTACCATTGCAAAAGGCTCCATCATAAGAATATCGTGTCTAAAACACACCACTCCTTACTATTTTCTGTAACCCACCTAGTATACAGAGATGGTGGTTTCCCAGTGCTCGTTTCAGCAGTAAAATTGCACTGAGAAATCCATGCTAATCCAGTGACTTGAACTGTATGTCTTTGTATGGTATAGCATGAATACCCATCAAATTTTCCAGCTGCTTGGGGCATGCGACTGTTAAACAGAAGGTATGGTGCAAAGCTTTATCTTAATAAACCAATACCTTGTTGGCCTTATTTACAGATGGAGATCTTTCTTGGTTATGTTGTGTACTGTTGCTTACGTCATATGGATAGCTTTTATTATTGATCTTGGTGTTCATAGATTTGTACCTGTTACAATACATCACATTATGTTTGCTTTTAAAATATGCAGTAATTCTCCCCAATGATTTTCTGTAAATCAAATAAATTGATAATTAAAACATGTTTCACTATCACTGATAATGGTGATAATGTTAATAATGTTTTTATTTAAAACATATCATATATGTAATTAGAAATAATTAACTAGCCAATTAGTCACTTTAATTATATATTTTGTTTGAATACTCAATAGGATAAACATAAAAATAATATTAAGTAAAGATTTATGTCATCAGAATGTCTTGCAGTTATCTACCATACATTTAATTTCAATAAATCATTTGTTGGAATCGTGAAAAATAGTAAGAATCTGGAACACTAATTTCACTTCATTGGTAATTTTCTTGATGTTAATTGATTTAATTGTAATTTTGATTAACCAGCTGGTATACTTGATATTAATCATTATAATTGTTGCTCATAGGTAATAATTTCAATCACATGAGCTGTAGCTGCTACATGACTTGCCGATTTGCATATTCAATATCATTTTAATATAATGTACTGAACCCTGTAAAATGGTGGTGAAGAATTAGCATTTCTTAACACATTCTGATGACAGAATGATGACGTTGTTCATTATATAATGTTAATCGGTGGAATCTTTGTTTTAATTTAGAAAGGCCTAAGCATTTTTTATAAGTGGGCTAGAACATGGGGAACTGAGTTTCAGTATTTAGAACTGTAAATTGGTCAACTTGGGATATGGATATTTTAAAATTTCTTTCTTGTATGAAAACATCATTATTGTAAAGAAAGGGCAGGATTTATTTGTGATTTTTATAAAAAGCTTGAATTTCTCTTTTGGTCATTTAACAATGGAGAACTGAGCTAATAGAGTTCTGAGATGTATGTAAGTTTTGAAATTAATGTAAGAAGGCTTTTGCTGCATATATCTCTAACCAGATTTGTCTGGCCTCATTTAGAGTGCAGCCTTAAGTTTTTTAGTCTCCTTTTATTAACATGCTGTAAAAAGTGCAGAAATAAATAGTAAAATGATTTTTGCCATATAGAATGTTCACCATATATCATGCATGAACAGAAGCATAAAGATTGAAACAAAGTGAAACTATAGATATGTTGATTTAGGTGTTGTTATAATACAAATGAACTGTTTATGTTGTAGGATGGAAAGGGTGGATGTATGTTTTACAGGTTCTTAGTATAACAGGGTTTCTTCTGGATTTTCATGTTTTTTGGCTATCACTATTTCTAAATGAATTTTTTTTGCCACTTTAAAGTTTTTCCAACAACAAATTTTAAGTTAGTTTTATATCTTAATGAATTGTCATTTGGGAGTCATTCTGCATATATATATATTGATGAAACTAAATAAAACTTAACAAATTTCAATTTAATGCTGACAAAATACTTTCAAGTTACACATTTTTCTTTAACCCAATTCTAAATGGTGAGCACTTTTAAGGTATTGAGAGAACACTTTCATATCAAATTTCCAAATTCAAGTGAAAATAATAATTTTAACTTTATTTCAACACAACAAGTTTTAACTGAAAAATATTTTTTGAATCGATAGTTTTTCATTTTGAAACATTTATTTAGCTTCATTCATGAAGAAAATTGAAAATAAATGTTGAAATTTGTGTTTCTGAGCAGCTTCCAGGAAACTCATCTGTAAACAATGCACTTGTCAATTTTTTTGAATTTTTCTTTACACCCCAAAGAATAGCTTTCGATTTGCTAAGAAACAATCCCCCCTAAAGAATATATTATCCATTTCTTGATTTTCAAGCAAAACCATATATTTTTGTACTTGCTTGCCACTCTTTTTATTATGTCACATCATGTGATTTAATCATTTACTAATGAAGCAACCATAAAGAAAGTTTTAATATGATTGAACAGAGTGAGAATTAGACATTTCACATCACTGTAAAATAAATAAATAAAGTGTTTTAAGTAGTAGTTTATGGTTTCATGGTAAACTTTATTTTCGGAGCTCCTGTAACATTGATATTCTATGGGAAGTTTTGAAAAGTTAAATACAAACCAAGAGATGGGATTTTTTTATAGTTTCTTCAGACATTCTTTTTTATTCTTGAAAGTGTTTGTATGTTAAAATTTTATCTGTTTGAAAGCTACAGAAATTTTCTTTGATGAGACATCAGATTAGCTTAGATAGGTTTAGTGGGTATGGAAGGTGATGGCAAAATATTCTGATGACTCAAATTCTTTATTTATTGAAATTTATTTTTATATTTGTTATGTTTCTTGTATTCAAATAATGTACTTAATTATTTTTAATTAAATCATGATATATTTTAAATAGAAACATTATCATTATGAGTGATAGTGAAACATTTGGTTTACATGAGTTGAAAGTAGATTGACTGCTGCTTAATTAAAAAAATAATGACTCGAT